GAGAGAGAGAGAGAGAGAGAGAGAGAGATAGAGACAGAGAGACAGAGAGAGACAGACAGGCAGACAGACAGACAGAAGGAGAGAGATAAAAAAAAGTAGGAGAGAGCGAGAGAAGAAGGAGGGACAGAAAGAGATGAAAAGCGAGTGAGAGGGAGTGTGGGTAGAGGGTGCGAGAGTTTTATCTTGGGGTATTCAACACGCATCGGGAACTAAATACAGCACGGGATTTTCTCTCTCTCTCTCTCTCTCTCTCTCTCTCTCTCTCTCTCTCTCTCGCCTCTACTTTGATTAGTCGGAGCTGTCCCGGCGACAATACTCGTGTGTAGCGAGCACCATCAGTGAACGCGATTTTTCCGCCGACGCACGATTTGCTCTGCGCTGGAACTCTCAGATTCTCTAAGAAACTTCTCAGTGCGCATACAGCGCTCTAACCGTGTGTTGTCTTTTCAGCGATATGGGAATCTAGAACTAAAACTTGACAGTGTCTAAACAGTGCTCGGAAAGTGTGAGGTCAAATCTGCTGTTTGAGATTCTTTTGGACCAGACCGGTGCGCAGTGCCTTAATTAATTTGTGGTTCTCTTGAAACTTACACGTGTGCGGACGACGTTCTGGTTCTGAAAGTGGTGTGTCAATCTCGCTCTGTGACATTACCAGACATTTTTACATTTTATTCACAGTGCTTGAAGAACGAGTACCAACATTATTTTTTAATTCAATTATTTGTCTTAGAATTTTGTCATCAGCCCATCACAACACCTACATCTTCAAGTATTAAAAACGTGAAGGATATATCTCGGACATGTGTCATTATTCTGGGGATATTGAGAGCTTTCACGTAATTTAGGAGACGGACTACACTGCCATAACACAGGAAAGCTCACAGCAACTGAAATGACCTTACACTTGGCGAAGCCAGCCCTCATCTACATACATCTGGAACCTACTTGAGCCAATCAGAAAAGTGCTCTGTGTAGTGAGAGCAGAGAAAGCAGTTAAATTCAAAATAATACTGTCCCTTAAATTCTACAAATAGCAGTGATTGTTGGTTCCATTGACACATTCATAGTAAAACAGAGTTTGGAATAAAGGGAGGTACCGGTAACAGACAAACACCATAGAGAGACTGGCAAAGGGAAGGACCAATCTGAACCAACCTACGGCTAAACTCATGTCCAGCTGATAAAGAAGAAAAATATTCCTATGTCGTATTACCCGTATTGATAGAATATTTCCAGTTACAGATTTCATGTCACAGAACATCGCACAACATAGAGTGTAATCTCTAAACGTAAAATCACATTCACTCAGAGACAGTTACCAAAAAGAAGAGTATAAATTGTTATATCAAACACCGTAACATGTAAAGTGACGTCATCCAAAACTGTTAGTATAATCACCAATACCACACTCCCGTCTCAAACGAAATTAAGTTAACAAAAAATTAAGCTTGCCATATCACATCAAGTCGCAAACGGAGGTGACCTTACAGAAGAGCACCATCTGCAATAATATAACCAGCACACCCCCAAAGAGTACTACTATTATATCAGTAATATCAACGTAGCCAGTCAAATATCCCAGCCATGACCAACAACGCCGGAGCAGTTCTACTGTGGGTTGTGGCCCTCTGTTATACCAGTGTGACCTTCGGCCTCAGCATCGGTCTACAGAGCATGGAGGAGAACTGCATCCTGAGCTTCGTCGTGCCCCGGGATAAGATGAAGTCCTCGTGCCAGCTGGACGAGAAGGTGACGCGTCGCCTGAACACAGCTGAGATGAAGGTGAACATCTACAGCCAGCAGGTGGCCAGCCTACAGCTGCAGCTGGACAAGCAGAGACTGCTGGACGCGGATAGGCTGGACAAGCTGGAGCAACAGGTGGGCCAGCAGGGGGAACTGAGAGAGAGGTAGGGGGATGAGGGATGGGGAGAGCGATGTGTACACACACACACACACACACACACACACACACACACACACACACACACACACACACACACACACA